CCATTCTTGGAAATTGAAACAATATAGTCAGCATAGACGTTGTGTCATCTGATTAAGCATTATTAAATTACCTGTGTGCAAGACCTCTTGACCAAGCAAAAATCGATGCTATGCTGTTGGTGCTGGTTTCACCTCCTTTCTGATGAACACGGTAATGGCGAGTAACCGTGCCATGGGCTGCTTCTGCTTCAATTGTCTTTCCATCCGGGCACACCTAGAATCCAATTGAGATTTTTATATAAAAAAATTCAAAGGAGAGGAAAACAATTAAATAAATTTAAACGAAGATAAAAACGAACACCACAGATATACCAATACTGAAGTCATCAACCCAAGAGATCCGAATCCTGTACCGATAAAAAAAAAATTGTTTAAAAAGATTCAACAAAGCAATGAATTCCTCAGTGTCAACCCTCCAGAACAATTCGCTAACCACAATGGCAACAAAAGAAGATAGATAGGTACTGTTGCTAGGGTAATCAGCAAATGTGATCCGAACCTTGGGCTAAGAAATCACTCTGCACATCTCCATCATAATTTTTACATGCCCATACATAACCACCTTCACTTTTGAGAGCATAAGCAACCATATCATCAATGAGACGATGTTCATACCTACAATTCAACAATGCAAGTAAATAACAGGTTCCTCAAATTGGCCAAACTAACCAACATCTGCACAAAAATTCTCACCAAATTCCTGCAGCCTCAAACTTGGATTTCCACTTAGTTTCATAAACTTCCTGGAATATGTCCTTGAATCTTCAGAAAAGTCAAATTAGGAAAATGTCAATAAAGAAGATGAATGCCAACCATGTAATTTCTCATAAAAGAAGCAAGTTCAAGATCCATGACCTAAATCATCCATCCCAACATATTACCTTCCATCATATTTTTTAAGAATGGTATTTTTTGTGCTAAGATAAAGTGGCCACTTTTTCAAGTAAGCAGTATTCATTGAAGCTTCAGCAAAGGCCTGGATGGACTGTTTTCCAAATCAAATGGAACAATAATAGTTAATGACTTCTAAAGGAAAAGGAAGAAAGGAAAAACAAAAGAAAAGAAAGAAATGAAGAAAAAAAGAATCAGAACCTCATCCGTGTTATACATGGACAGAGCTACACCTCCAGCTCCTTTGAATTTGAAAACCTCAAACTCTGTCTTTTCATTGTTTCCATCAGGTACTGCGTAAATTGCAATAACCTTGACATGATGAGATATGTAAACTTGCAGCAGTTTTGCAAGTCTCCCACAAAAGTGAAAATAACATGCAATTAGCAAGAACCCAAAAGTAGTGAATTTTAGAGCCAACTGTTGGAAACAGGAAATTTACCAAATACTAGCTTCAGTTTGCCAGGTCCTTGGATAACTGTATCAGTTGCTCTGTACTGGTCACCAAAGGCATGCCTTCCTATGCAGATTGGCTTGGTCCAACCTGAAAGGAAAAAAAAAAAAGCTTGTGTTGCAGTGTTGTTTTCAATCAATAGAAAAAGGATCCCAAATCAAACAGAAAATCAAAAAGTCATTGCAGACCTGAAACAAGCCTTGGAATGTTTTTGCAGATAATTGGTTCTCTAAAAACCGTACCTGTAGTATAGCCAAAATAAAATAAAAAAAGTTAAGCTCCATAGTAAATACAGGAGATTAAAGAGGCAGTAAAACATAAATAAGGCAAGTTCATTCACCATTTAAAATGTTGCGAATTGTCCCATTTGGACTCTTCCACATATTTTTCAAGTTAAACTCCTTAACACGGCCTTCATCTATCAGACAACAAAGCAAACTACCTTAAGTTCAGCAATGATCAACAAAAAAAAACCACGTACAAGCCTGTCCACGATCCTCAAAAGAGCTCAATATACCTGGAGTTATTGTTGCACACTTAATAGCCACATTATATCTACAACGAATAGGGAAAAAATAGAAAAAGTTTCCGTCTTTAGCATAATTCTGAGTCGATTTAGCTAGTAGGTATGAAAAAAAAAATAATAATAACATCACCATGACGAATGGTGATGGTAGTAAGCAAAGCATGGTATTGTTGAAGAGGAACTCAGAAAAACAAAAGAACCAAAGAAATATCGCATACTTAAGAGTCGCCTCAGCACTTTCAACGGTAATTCTATCGTCTGTAGCATCCCGATTAGGCAGGCCAAGGTCAAAATACTTGATATCCAAATCCAAAAATGGCAAAATAAGCTGTAAAACATAAAACCAAGTTGCAAAAACAAGAAGAAGAATCATTTAATAAGGCACCATGGGTTTGTTCCCAAAACAACAAAAAGCACTCAGAGGACGAGAAAAAAACCTTGTCCTTGATTGATTTCCAGATAACTCTAGTCATTTCATCTCCTGTGTAGATAAGAAAAAGAGATCATAACAAGCATGTATTTATAATCCCAAAAGCAAGGCTCCAAAATTTATAAGCTGACCTTCCCAATTTAACATCAAGGTCCGTCAAGGGACAAAGTGATCCAAAGTGAGTGAGGGAAGAAAATCGTAATCAAAACCCAGAAAAAAAACTACTGGGTTTTGAAATTGAGCCACTCAGTTTGGAAGTTACAGCATCATCGCACGCAAAGAATGTAAAGAAGAAGAAGAGGAAGAAAATTGGAGGGAACATACCGTCCATTTCAACGATGGGATTGGTGACCTTAATTTTATCGAATGCCATTTTCACTTGCTGTCTCTGCGTGATCACTGCAATCATAAAACAGCTACAGCTACAACTACTCGTAGGAAATTAAGAGACGTGAGAAAAAACGAGGCAAAATGATCGTTGAGTGGAGCGTGTCTTTGTCTGAGTGAGTTTGTGTTTTTATATCGGTGCCGTGGCCACTAATGTGTAATGGCTAAAAAGCTGCCAGATTTTAGGTGCTCCACTGGTCCTCTCTATTGCACCAAACCTGCTTTTGTTTTGAAGTGCATGACTAGGAGCATCGCATCGAGGGTAGGTCATGAGGGTGCAAAATAAAAATAACATGTTTAGCAATGGGTTTAAAAAGTATTTCTAAAAAATTATAATTTTTTTTTAAATTAATATATTTTTAATATTTTAAAAATATTTTAATATGTTAATCTTAAAAATAGTTTTTAAAAAATAAAAAAAATATTATTAACATACTTTTCTAAATAAAAAACAATTTAAAAAATAATCAAAACAACACTTTCAAACATATTTTAAATCTAATTAAATTTGTGTTTATTATTCATTATTGTAATTCAGCATGGAGAAAAAATAATCAAAACAACACTTTCAAACACATTTTAAATCTAATCAAATTTGTGTTTATTATTGACATATGTTTTTTATTTATATCTTGTTTTTCATTTAAAAAATTATCTTTGAGATATGTTTTTTATTTATATCTTGTTTTTCATTTAGAGAATTATTTTTTTATTTTTTTAAATTAATTTTTTAATATTTTTAAATTATTTTTATGTATTGAAAATAATTAAAAATAAAAAAATAATTTAAAAACCAATCACAGTTACTCCATCTCATCATCTCGTTTCCATCTTTTTTTCTTTCATTTTTTCTTATTCCGCGCGTGTATATGGATATTAGCTGTCTTGGCACGTAGCTCTTCGCTCGGTGCTCAACATTAACATCACCACGTTTGTGTTATTCTCATAAGTTCAATTTTTCATGATGTCTTTGAGGATGATGGGTACGTTATAAGATTAAGGGGTTCTTCAGCATTAAATTTCAACTTGTTTTTTTTTATTAAGATTTATTTTTTTTAAAATTAATTTTTTTAATATTTTTTATTTTTTTTAATATCTTGATGTAAAAAATAAATTTTAAAAAATAAAAAAAATATTTTTTTTAAATGAAAAAACTTTTAAAAAGTAATCACTATCATTTTTTTTTTTATACATCTGTCTTGGAATATGATGAGTTTTTTTAAAAATATATTTAAATTAAAAATATATTAAATTATGTTTTTTAAGTTTTTTTAATTTTTAACATTATTATATTTGAATCATTGAAAAAGACAGTTTTTTTTATTTAAACTAGTTCCAAATTGTACCTAGGGTCAAATATTTTTATTTCCTATAAACAAAATATATATGCATATTTTTAAAGTATTTTTTTAGTTTAAAAAATTTAAGTTCAAATATAAAAATTATACATCCGTGTAATTAAATAAATTGAAAATTATATATGTGAATAAATAAATAAAAAATTATTAACAATACTTAAAAATAAAAAATAAAAATAAAGAGACAAATATAAGTGAACATATTTAATCTCAAAAAATAAAATATTTATCTAGTTGTTTTGCTAAAAACATTTTATTAGAATAATTTTTTATCTAAGAAAACAATAATAGAAATAAAAGCATAAATTATATTGAGTGAATAAAAGAAAAGAAAAAAATCATGTATAACTGCATATATTAGAAATATTATTTGAAAATAATTTTTTTATTTTTAAAAATAAATTTCACCCATAAAAAGATTAAAAAAAATTATACATGAATCAAAATACTCTTCAAATTTAAATATATAACTAAAAAAGTCGTTATTTAAAAGAGAATATGTAGATAAAATGAAAAATAAAATGATCATTAGTTTAAATATAAATTTAAAAAATTTAGAGAAAAAACCATTAATTAAAAAATAATTAGAAGAAAAAAAAAAGCACAAGTCAGGTTAGCCCCATCTGGCTCAAAATAAATCATTTTGAGATATTAAAATTACATAATTTATATAATTTTTAAAATCTAAGTACCAAAGTATATTTTTTATGAAACTCATAGTATATTATTTATATTTGATGTTTTTTTTTATTTTAGTCTCTTTTCTTTCAATCTTATATTTTTATAAAAAATCAAAAATAATTAATTTTTAATTAGGACTAAATCACTAAAAAAAATTAATAACTAAATTAAAAAAATATAAAATTTTGCATAGCTAAACTAAAAAAATAAAGAGTGTAGCATTGTACAATAAAAAAAACTCAATAAATGCAATTTTGGAGAACAAAAGGCCTGTTAGGCACACCCTAAAGAAATTTTCTTTGTACAATTTCAGTTTCTCTCATAGATTGCAAGTTATGGATCGGCCAAAATATGGAATGGAATTATTCCTAAAAGTATTCAAACTCTATATAAGATTCATTTTTATTTTCAGGAGGGCTAACATCGTTCTTATCACCACCAACGTCTGGCCCTTTCTTGTCAGCTGGGAGCGCTTCTTTGCTAGCATATTGTGAGAAGTCTACGGGTTCAGGTATGTGTGGAGGCAAGGCACTTCTGACTAGAGCCCAGTTCACTCCTTCGAAAAATGGATGCTGTTTTATCTCTGTGGCACCCCTTCTGTATGCAATTCTTTTATGGGGTTCTTTCACTAGAAGTCCTCTTATCAGATCACGAGCCGCCATACTGACCTGTGGATTTTCTGGAAATTTCAATGGCTGCCCAACAACATTGAATAATGTAGCTCTGTTTCCTTGTCCTTTGAAGGGAGTTGTTCCATGCAATAGCTCATATAAGAAGATGCCGAAAGTCCACCAGTCCACTGCACTGCCATGACCTTCTCCGCGTATGATCTCAGGGGCCAAGTACTCGTGTGTGCCAACAAATGACATCGATCGTACGTTTGTAGGCTCTGCCATTAATTCTGGCATTGACCCTCCAACGAAGATTCCAAAGTCTGATTTGGATTTTCGGTTCTTTTTACCAGGCAGTATGCGTGGGAAAAATGTTGATGGTTGCATACAACCTTGCACAGACTCATCATCCAAAATGCCACCACCACCACCGCTGCCGCTGCTTACATGCACAGATGAAGACTTGACAAGGGTTGGACTCACCGAGCAACGAAGCGATAAATCAAAGTCTGAGAGCATGATATGTCCTTCATCTCTAACTAGCAAATTTTCTGGCTTCAAATCTCTGTATACTATGCCTAACATGTGCAGATATTCAAGAGCCAACAACACCTCTGATGCATAAAATCTGTTAACAGCAAAATAACTTATAACATCTCACATCCATTTGCACAAGAACTAAGGAATTTGTTACGTGAAAAGAGAAAAAAAAAATTGATCATTTGATTCATGAAAGAAAAGATTCAGCTTTTGTTTCCAACAAATCTAAGACCAAAGACACAATTGATCGACTTACATATGATGAACCTGTCAGAAACATAGAAAATTTCTCTCTACCAAGGGTGAAGGAGAATAGCCACTATGTCTATAGTTTTTCCCTTTTTTTTTTTTCCTTGAAATTGATGTCTATGATATTGGTATTTTATGTATCCAATCACTATCAAATCCAACCGCAAAGTCAAGGGTAACGGTTTAATTTCTATCCATTTTAAATGGAGAAGGGGTGAGGGCTTGGATTTTGGAGAATTAGCATAATCATATTGTCGACCAACCTTTAACAGCAACATCTTTGCATTCAACTGTGCTTGAAATACCTCGTAAAATGTAACTTTCTAGGTCCAATTATGCAACACAAAGGCGCTAGAAGCAACATGATTATGTAAAAATAAAAACTAGCGAGCACAGATTGTGAACAATGCTGGAAAAGATGTAAGGTCCCCAACTGCTGCTGATCTAACCTAAGCCTCCATTATTGCAAAACTGGCACAATCCTATATCAGCATCTAATTAACAAATCGTCAGACTGGCAGGCTGAAGACCAATATTCTGATAATGTTTGTTAGAATATAACTACAAAACTCAATATCACAAGTTTTGATGATAGAAAGAAAAAACATAGCAGAAAATGAGTACTCACCGTGCTGCTTCCTCAGTAAAATGCTTGTTAGGTTGCTTCTGCCGAAGAGAATGAAGATTACCTCCACTGCAGAATTCCATGACAATGCAGTAGAACTTATCAGTCTCGAAATAAGTATATAAAGTGGGCAAGAATGGGTGGTCAAGAAGTCCAAGAATTTCCTTCTCTGTCTGTGCCCTTAACAGCTTGTTTCTACTTGCAAGAGAAGCCTTGTCCATTACTTTCATAGCAAAATGGGCATTAGTCCCTCTAAGCTCAACAAGATAGACACTACCAATGTCACCGTATCCAAGACGCTTGAGAAGCCTAAAGTTGCTAAGACCGATTGTACCTCTGGCAATGGCAAACTGAATGGCTTCCCATCTGACATCACGCCCTGTGTGGGGCTTGTTTGCCCCACCGGAGCTTTCTAAACTGTTGGAACGGGTAGAGCTTCTGCCACTCAAATTGGCATGGTTGGTAATGGAACTAAAAGTCTTTGCTTCGTTTGTCTTCATGCTTGCTGGCAATGCAGCTGCTGCTGAAGTGGTTGAAAGTTGAGATTTTGAAGGTGTTCTTGGGCTTTGAATCGCGCTTTGATTAGCACTAGCATGTCCCACAGGCCTGCTTAATGGATCCATCTTTTTGGGATCCAAGTGACGATTAAAAGTTACATTTTCAGTAATCTTGGTAAATCTGGTTTCCCTTGGTGAATCAGAACCTGAACTTGCACTGTATTTTCCTATTAGATCCGTTTTCTTGGGTTCTTGGTAAAGAGGATTGTTACAGATTATATTGGCATCAATACTCTTGCTAAACCCCTCCATCTTCTCTGTTTCACTTTCTACTACTTTTCGTGGCATGTAACTCATCTGCAAAAGTACCACAGAATGATGTATTAATCACAAAAGAACGCAGCAAGTTGCACAAATTTGCAAAATCCGCCAGATTTTAAATCACAGTCCGCCAGGACAACAATTATGAGCTTAAACATACCTCGTATGAGTCAGGCCCTTTGTCAGACTTAGATGACATTGATGGCGCAACACGAGACCACTCCTTAACAGGAATTCCTGGTTGCCAAAAAAGAATGAAATACAAATCCATTAGTTTCACAATGAAATAGACCGATGCCTTAAAACTGATTTCTCAAATATACATCAGCAACAGCAACAAAAAAAAAGAAAAGAACACTCTGCTCATTCCCGGAACAATGGCGGAAGGTTACCATCTGAAACAATAGTTTTTCTGCGAGCTGCTAAAGAATTGTACATTGTTAAATGTTAATTTTCAATTTTGATCCGAAAGGTTGCATTGCATTGAATAGCATAGCATATACGGAGCTCATAACCAACGATTAAGGTACCTATAATTTGTGTGTGGTGTGCACGTATTATGAGAAAACATATACAAATTCGGTCATCGATTAAAATATATGCATCTCAACGTGGGATTGACAACATTCTGTGACGTAGGATGACAAGTATCCACAATGTACAATAAAAGGGAACAAAGGGATTGTAAACAGAACAAAAGATCAATGAAAATGCCATAACAAAAAGAAACTCTAATGAAGAAACACATTGAAGAGATCGCGGACCAACCAGCAGAATCTCAAAATTGCATTAACAAAAGAAACATGTTATTGGTTATGATTGCATCTTGCTTGGGATGGAAGGGAAAATGGTATTTCATTGCATAATCTGCAAAGAGAGAAACTGTCTAAATAAATAAATAAAATGGTGGTGGTGGTGGTTACAAAGTTAAAATGTAAAAACGAAAGCAAATGAGAATGAGTTGGATTTTATATGGACCACCACTCCTCGTCGTCGTCATAGCAGGAGTGGATTTTGTTGTTAGTCTTTATTTGAATATTTTAGTATTGGTTTTTCAAGATTCGGAGAGTTTTGTGGAAACAAATTCCCATAAATGAAGCAAAAATAAAAGAAAATAAAATAAAAGGAACACCCAAGTACCATATTCTATTCTAGCTAGCTCTTCAATCCTTGTAACTACTAAAGTACGTGGGGAGAGGAAATAAAAAGAAGGGGAAACGGTCATAGCTATGAATAAGGGGTGGATATCCGTTTAATCCTCCTTCTTGTTTTGTGAAAAATAGGGAAAATAGAGATCCTTTTTCATTTCACATCCTCTCTGCCCACGACTACTCTCCAGCTCTGCATTCTAGTTGAGATTTGCTGTCATATCGTCATTGCCTCATTGGCAGCGTTTGCTTAAGTAAACAAAAATGCAGCTTTGCTAAAAAAAATGTCAACACTGTTTATTTCAGATGTTGAAGTGCGCACTTTGCCGATATAGGGGGGGGAAAGGATGTTTGTACATTACAAATCGAAAAATATAATGAAATTGCTTCCATCTAAGAAATAATGCATCGTGAATGCCGAGTTCACATGTGGATTTGCAACAAAAGAACATGGTGTATTATTCGTTAACCTAAACATAGCCTGCAGCACAAGCTGTAGCTCACATCACCCGGCAAGTTTTATGACCCCCACCACAGTTTACATCTGCGTGTAGGATATTCACTGGTTGCGATCCATAAGAAGCATAGTGATTTGGTGGTGTTGCTCCGTAAGGACCATGGTTGTATGTTGGCACGGGACAAGTAGGATCACAGTTGGGTGGCAGTAGAGGCCTTTGAGCCTTCTCCTCACCCCATCTATTGCCACCACAGCTGAACTCAAAAGCGTGGCAACAAGGAGGTACCTTTTTCGTTGTGGGATCACATCCACCACTACCATTACCAAAGGGAGCAGGACCTCTGCTGCTGCTCGCACCACCGATATTATCATATTGGCCTTGACCAAATGTATTCATAGGTGGTGGGTTGTGCCCATTCATAGCTCCATTGTTCCCTTTAGGCTCGTGCAAATTGTTTGTATTGATGCCTGTGGCATGATCAATATGACTGATAACACCGTTGTCACTGAAGGTCATCTTTATGTTGTTGGTTTGGTTTAGCTCCAAAAGTTTCAACCTTTTATTCTCCGTGAATTTTTGCAGTTGAGCCAGCTGATCCAGATCGATTCCATTTTGTTGAGCATCAAAAAGTGCATCTTGAACTCTCTTTCCTCTGTTATCAGCATTGTTTTGGTTCATCAAGAGAGGTCTTGGTTCCCATAGAAGATGCGCTTTCTTCCCAATCTTTGCAAACTCTTCTATAAGTACATGAGGGTCTACTGTACTTGAGACTGTCACCTTCCCCTCATTCGCATCTATGTGGATGGAGTGCACACCTAGCAAATGAAAAAAGGAAAAACATAACAAATTCGATGCTTAGCAGTTCAATTTTTTGGTTTCTTCGTATACATGACTAGAAGAAGGCTGTGCAGCATAATAGACCAGTAAAAAAGATACCTTGAGTTTTCTGCAATTGTTTCCTGATCTTCTTGTGGCAATTTCCACATGCAAAATTCATTTTCAGGACACATGTCTGCAGCCGTATTTGAAACATGTATACTTAACAACAAGGAAAAAAATAAAAAGTTGCAATCTGAGCACATTTCATTGGACATTCTTTGTAATACCTGAGGAGAAACTGAAGGAGCAAACGGCTCACGTTCCATAGGAAATTTTCTGTAGTCCTTAGCAGACAAAAGTTGCGAGTTGTTACTTGTCCCGTCGCCCCCAGAGAGTGCGTTTTCTTCTTCGTTCAGAAGGCTGATAGAGATGCCTTGAAAAACCAGGGGGGCGCAGTGACATTTATTTGCATATAAAGATCTTTATTTAAATGTAGAAATAAATACAGAATCAGTGTCATGCGAGTAATTATGGTGCAGCTATATGCGTTCACGATGCTGGATTGCTCAAATATTGCGGTGCAGACATGTAATACGTTAACTAATCAGATACGTTTGAAATAAAATAAAAAAATTCCTCTAAATTTTTCTATGAAGGTGAAAGCCTTCTGCCAAATCTTTCATTAGAACGATGGAAGCCTTCAATGATAAGTTGGACAACGTTCAACTCTTTTATTAGTTTTCTCGGGATTCGAATTCCAGCAAGATCAGGCCATTATCATGCAACCAATGTTCCGGATTTGTTAAGAAATCTACAACAGTCAAACGGATTTAATCCATTAATAACGAAGTATAATTTCCAAATTCAATTGTTGATACCAGAATTTATGAATTTTTAAGGTGTGATAACAAAGAAGATATTAGCTGATGTTTTCATTTAATAAGTTGAAGGGCACCCAGGGCAAACTTCAGGAGAAAATAAGTGTAGTAAAAAGGCACCATACAAGTTTTCAAATCAAAAGTTTTAATTGAAATACAAAGGAAATGTTCAATTTCAATAATTGTCATTTATTTTCTCATACATGCACAACGGAATCCAACGTCAAATCTAAACCAGTAGAGAGCCTTCCATCACAGTAACAGCTTTCCCCCGCAGCAACACTCTCTGGTTCTGCTCATCTAAGTGGATGTCCAATATCCCACTCCTAGGAGATGCCTGAAGAAGATAAACAACGTAAGCAATATATGATTTTCTAAGACTGCTATCTTTGAGAGAGGAAGGGGAAGGACTACCTGATATGCCATAAAATCACACTTTCCAAGTTTCTTGCTCCAATAAGGTGCTAACGCACAATGTGCACTCCCACAAACAGGATCCTGAAGAATTCAAACTTGTGACGTGAGGAAGTATTCACAGATACAATTTTATTTAGCGAGAGTGTTCAAAGTCTCATCGTCTATCTTCAGTTACTGAAAATGCAGTGTTTTCTAGACCAACAACATTCCGCAATGAAGGGATTCGCAAAAGAAGACAAATCAGGTAGGTTTATCCATTAAGTTATCAAAATTGATGCTGGTCAGGTAACCTAGATTCAGGGCAGTCTTTAAGCTGGTAAAGTATACAAAGCGGATGAAAGAATTTAGCTATCAGCATCTTTAACATTTTGGCCATCATGTTCTATTCAATTTGCAGGTATAATACTCATCAGATTTGGTGAAGGCCTGATATTTAACGCCAGGAACTTCTTTCAATTGCTTCAATCAATTAGGAATATCTTTACATTGCAGGAAGGTATTCTGAAGAGCATTCTGATGAATGAGACAAAATGCCAATAAAATTACCTCACTAATCCGAAGTTTTGGGCAGAAGAAACGGCTATAAAAATCAAATCCAGACTCTGGTGGAGCAACTCCAGAAACAATTACCCCCCTACCAGGACATTTAAGTATCTCGTCAAATTCTGGATTTATTTCTGCAACATCTTTACCAGACGGCAAGACAACCTGCAAAAAAGGACAAGCTATTATTTTTGGTACACAAATGAATTCAACATTCAACCGAATACATATGGTATCATATCCAGATACAAAAAATGACATACATGGAAGGTTCGAGCCATTCATGCTAACAAAACATTACTCTTTTAAAGTAAGGTCAGTGCTTAGTTGCAAATTTATGTCAGAAAATAACAAATAAGAGTTGCAAACGGAAGTATAAAAATGTAAATAACAAAACATTAAATAGAAATGGAATTGGAGGTATTACGAGGAGGTCACCGAAGGTAGTCTTCTTGAGATCAATTATTGGAGCAGAATTCAGTGCCTTAGAAATCGACACAGCGTCTATGGAGAACTCCGTCGTTGGGACAATTGGGAAATCTAATTCAATGAGAAAGCTCTCTTTCGCTTCACCATTTGAGACATTCTCAGGGTTGATACTTTCAGGAACTTTCTTAGCAGTTAGGATCCCAGATAGCGTGTCAAATTCAATAATGTCAGAATTGACCAAGCCATTTGAAAATAGTGTGTGTGAAGCAGCTAATGTTGCATGGCCACAAAGCGTAACCTGTGAATGGGGAAAGGATAATAATTCAGAATCCCTCTTTATTATAAATCATCCACCTCAATATACAAACAGGAAAACTTGCATTTGCAATACAGTACAATACAGTTAGTAAAATTGTAGCTAAAAATTGTTGTTTGTTCAAGGGCCATTAAAAAGTAATGAACTTGGTAGTATCTTCCATGCAAATGAATGAAACCATCGAACTGGCCAAAAATATTCAAAACCACGCCACCCGATTGATCCAGAAGTAGTTTACACCCACTAACAACAATAAGAATTAATCACCCACAAAAAGAGCAATCACTTACTAGTTGAAAATACTTTTTTTAAAAAAAAAAACTAACAAGAAAAAAGAAGTGTTGACCTCTGCAGCAGGAGTGAACCATCTAAGACGGAACCTAGGATTGGAAGTGACGGCAACATCAGTAGTGAGTGGTGTCAAGTAACATGTCGCGGAGACATTGAACTCAGCCGCCACAGCTTGTAGCCATTTTTCATCTTTTTCATATTCTAATAAACATACAGCAGCTGGGTTACCCTTGAAAGCCGAGTCAGTGAATGCGTCCACCACAAAGTATTTCACAAACTTCTTTCCCATTTGTCAAGTGATTCCGTGGAGTTAAAAGGGAACTTCTGTTTTGGAGACGAAGCTGAATCGAATGGTCAACTAAAAATGCGCAAAGCTTTGAAGGTTAACTGAGTTTTGTTCGAGGGTCATTGTCCTTTTACACTTTTACCCTTGCCTTGTTTTTTATCCTACTACTTTTGTTTTATTACCCGGCAATCCTTGCGCCCATTTAAAAAATAAGATTAATTTCTGATTGCTACTTCCAATAAATACATTTTTTAAATATCAAATTTGTATTTTTATCCTTGCACTACTTTCAATGGAATATGTTTCCAACGTTTTAAATTAAATTATATCAATTTAATTTAATTTAGTTTATAGTTTAAATATCATTTATAATTATAGTATAATTTTTAAAAATAATATTTATCTACTTTTAAGTGAAAAGGAAACTACCTAGCATCTTAATTTATCAAAAAATTAATATTTAATTGTAAATGATATTTTCTTTCGGTTCTTTTATACCAAATAATATTTTACTTAAGTGTGTGAGTCTATATATATATAAAGTATTGTTAGTTACAGTATTTAATATTTTTATAACTAATAAATAATCTCAAATTATACTAGTTTAATTATTTTTTATGAGTACAGACTCGACCACATGTTCTTGATAATTTAAAAATCTTAAATTTAACTTCATAACTTACATTACACACATTTTAATTGTCTTTTTTTTTTCTTTTCAATATAAAGTAGGATAGAGGAATTGGAGAAATCTCAAATAATCCCAAACTATGAATTGATTTTCATTTCAGTCCCCATGAAAAAGAAAATTCTTCAATTAGGTTTTCAAAGGATCAAAATTCTTTAATTTAAGTATCCACATCATCAACAATTGCGTTTAATCATGACGTGTCTATCACATGCGACATTCAACTCCAAATAATTTTTGGAAATCTCAAATCAATCCCTCGATTATATAATAATTAATAATTAAGTGAAGCCTTACATTTCAGTTTTTCAATCACTTCAGAAAGAGAACCAACTAGCCACTGAATTAGCAAAATCCTCACATTTCAATCACTCTATGAACAAACAATAAAAATAAAAAAATTCAATGCAAACAGTTTTTTTTTTTAAAAAAAAAGATCTAAAGAATTAAAAAAAAAATCTACAAAATTGTTTTTTTTTTTTTAATCAATACAAATACCGTTGACCTTTCATCGATCTTTCGCCGTCTCGTTTTCTGACACGGACGCACTAAACCTGGAAAATATCTTTTACTGCCTCCCTCCCATTTTAGTTAAAAGACGGAATCTTAAAAAAGTCGCTGAAAAGTATACACAACAAAACAAGATCGGGCAAAGAATGCTGGGCCATAAAGGTACAGTGAAAATTGGGCCGAAAAGGGGGCTCATCCACTTGGTTCAAACCCGCTTTGATTGGAGCCTGATACAGCCTATCCATGACCATGTCAGAGGAGACAACCGAAGGCGGGGATAGCAGAGCAGCCTGGCACTCCCTGCCTGCTGACAACCTTGTTCACTGCAACCCAGATTTAAAAAGGTCTTGAATCATAAATAAAGTCTTAGGTAGAGAAATCGAGAGCGGTAGCTGTAGTAGAGGATGGACTCTGTCACGCCACCGTCAGCAGGAGCTGTGCATCCATTAATCGTGCCCTTCTCATATCTGCTGGGGACATGGAGGGGCCAAGGAGAAGGTGGATATCCCACTATCAACTCTTTCTCTTATGGAGAAGAGCTACATTTCTCTTCCAATCCTGGCAAGGTATAGCTTCAATATTTCTTTCCCCTTAGTTTTGAGTTTGATCGTCAGCAAATACTGAGTAGGGTTTCTCCTGTAGCCTGTGATAGCTTATAATCAAAAGACTTGGAAACTCAATTCTGGAGAGCCTATGCATGCCGAGAGTGGTTACTGGAGACCCAAGCCTGATGGTACCATTGAAGTTGTCATTGCTCAGAGCACTGGCATCGTTGAAGTCCAGGTTTGTTTTTTTTATATATAATTTTCTCACTTTCATGCCTTACTTTTGACGATGAAAACTGTATGGATCTTCTTCTTTTTTGGCTTCCTATCTTAATTGCTGGTATGAGGTGAATTATATTCTGGTAATTTGTTTTTAGAAAGGGAATTATAATACACAAGATAAGACGATCAAGCTTCAGAGTCAATTGGTGGGCAATGCTTCTAAGGTGATTTTTCTCTTTCACGACCATTCATATTGTTTGTTCGATGGGTTATTTGCATCCTCAACATTAAACTTTCTATAATTTTACATTACTAATTAAAGAATGCTTCACTATTGGTCGATGAAGCATGGAACTTTCTTTTCTGTTGCCATTAGTACTGCAAAGAGGGCACTGTATCCATTACCATTGCCAATTTTCTGTTTCTGTATACAAAATTAAGTTGGGATTTGGGAATGGTTATTTGGAAAATAACTAGCTGGCTGCATTCTTGATAATTAGTTGGTTCATGATCCTAAAGACAAAACCAGATTCATTTTTATTTCAAATTAAATGCCAGTAGACTTGTTCTGTGATGCACAGGAGCTTCAATTTATGCAAACATTAGCTGATTTTATACTTTGGATGGTAGAATGTTTTTGTCATGGTAAGCTTAGGCCTTATTCTCTTGACCATTAGACGAAAGCTACCTCAAATTTGTGCATTTGATTTTCAAATCTCAGCATAGATATTAGAGAGGCCTTTACTTGAATTTCCATACCACACAAGCATGTTGTCATTGAGCAATGTAACCATTTGCCGGTTTTTTGATTTCACTGTCCATTTTTTGGCATGAGAGGTGAAGACAGTCTGTTGCATGCCACGAGCAAAAGAAAAATCTATAGATAGGGATTCATGGGTCGCTATTCTAGTAATGGTAATCCTAAGCTTATTCATTTATATTGATGGTAGTTATATTACAAGGATGAGGATTTTAGCTTGTAAAGGTTGAACAGCATTACAACAATCGATACAGGGTTGCAACTAGAATTGAATACTGGAGATTTAGAAACATAGTTTGTCCCATTGAAGAAAGGAGGAATTATGCAAATGTAGCATATTTTTATCTTAAAAGAATATAGGAGGATTATAAAGCAATGTCTTTAAAGAAGCTTAAAAAATAAAATTGTCTGTGTTCTTTTTATTTAGCACTGTGTGGATTCTGTTTTAAAACTAATCTGTTCATTTTTTATTGCAAGCGATTGCAAATCACCTTCGTTTTTCTTTGGCAGGTGAAGGAGATAACACGAGATTTTGAATTGGTGAATGGAGATTTATCATATGTGGTTCAAATGGCTACCAACCTAACTGGTATTCAGCCACACCTGAAAGCTTTGCTCAAGAAGCTCTAACAGTTTCATGCCTATTTAAAATTGGCAGAGAATATAAAGTAGCATGCATCTTGGCTGATCTTGATGTTTGCAGCTGCTAAATCCTTGCAAGCAATCGTTAAATGCACAAAGTGCCGTCGGGTAAATTATTGTTGGAGTTGCTTGTTTGTCAGCAGACAGTAAAATCCTTAATTGAGTTGAGAAGAACTCCTGACTAATGAACATGTGTTCGTTTTATTTCAGACAGACTTGTGCTCTGTATATGATTTTAAAGCGTGTCTTTGATTTGTGCATCCAGTGAACTTTAATATTTCCCACTCGACTCTTTTTTCTTTTTCCTCTTTTCTGCAAACGACTCCTGCTCCTTCTCTCATCCTTTCAAAATTTAAGAGGTCCGAATTTTTTTTCTTAAAAAAAAAAACATGAACATTGATTTGTGAGTTTCCACAAGGCATGAGGTTATCTTGCTTATAAAAACCATTAGGGCGATGCAGTGACCCATCATTGCATACAGTGTTGCCTTTGATTACACAAGTGATTATACATTCTCATTACACAAGTGATTATACACTCAGGAAAACAAGCCTATTAAACAGGAGAATGATATCGCAAGTTTTTAGGAATCTTAGGTACGGTTCTAAGGTTTGACTTGTCCTCTGTGCGGAAGAATAGTAAAATGTTTCAAGCTCCTTGAGGCTAGCGCGCAGCAGCCGCCTCTCCAACTGTAGCTAACATGCTATCTGTTTTTTCCCGCGAGCTGGTCAAACTCGTCTATTCTTTGATCCACATGGTCATTAAGAGATGCAAATCCTGAAAAGATTGATGTCTGCTTCAACTCCGACACCAGCTTAAGTAAAGAATCAGCTGCTTGAACCTGTTTCCAAATAATAAAGAAAAAACAATGGCGGAGGCCCAGCTAGTGTAGAGGCAGGGATTCGCAAATGGCACTCTCAAAATCAAAAACATTGCATTCACTCCATGCGATAGGACCCCGACCACAGAAAGAAGATGAATCATGAAGTTGATCAGCTCTGAATATATCTAGTGATGCATACAACATCAAGCTAACTTTAAATCCTTCAAAAATATCATTACCTATTCACCAGAGAAAAGAGCACCCTCTCTTCTATTTTCTTAAAAAGATTGTTTATTGTGTGCTTTTTAATTAGTAGTTATTGTCTTTTATTACTTGACAGTCTTTCAAAGAGTTTGTTTTAATTTATTTTTAGTTTTTTTATATAGTTTTTATTTTCATGATGCATTTATAAAAATAAAATTAATTTGTTATCAGTTAAAGAAAAAACCTTCAGGATATAAGAAAAAAAAACATTAAGATTAAAAAAAAACAGCACGTATATGTTTTTTAATTAAAAAACATGATATTTGAAAGAAAAAAAATATCCCTCGCATTAACACATACCCTTACCCGCCGCGTAGGTTGGAAGATCAAACTAGTTTCCCCTATAAAGCTATCCACAACCTAACACGTGTGAGATTATTAGGGAGTCATTAGCAAACTGCAAGGCGGGGTAATCGAGAAAGTCATCCTAAAAGCTATGCTCCTCTGTTTTCAAAGGAAGACAAAAAAAAATCTCTGATGATTATAATTTAATTAATTAGATTTTAGGTTTCTTCAGGTCTCAAATAATATAATTCTCATAATTATTAAAAAAATTATAATTATTTATTTTAAAATATATAAGATTAATAAAAATATATGCAAACAATCCGAACATAAAAAAAAATAAAAATA